TAGTAGTCATATTTTACTGCTCGATCCATAATGCTCTCTACTAGTCTTTTCTTCCTTACTTCACCACACAGAAATTGGTCCATGGTAAAAATTGGATTTTCAGTTGACTGCTTCTTTTACAACGTAGAAGGGAAGAACCAAGACAGGAAAAATAAGATTTGGAGTGTTATATTCGGTGATACCTTTTATTAGAAAAAAAAACTCTGGCGACAAAATAAGAATTGGCGTGGTTCTACAGAGCTGATGGGCCGGCCAAGCTTGCTTCAGCGATCAGCACAAGAAGCATATAAGAGCCGCTGGATTGGTTCAATGGTGGATACAACGCGGACTGCACGGCCGTGACTTTGTGGTCGAAGTCAGAGGATCCGCTTCCGGTCACTATTATATAGAATGACATGCCTAAATTCTGTATTTGGTTTCTTACCATAAAAGGTGGACACACACGATCTCATACAATGCATCAAACTTATATGTTATCGTGAACGTCGAGTTACACTTAACATGTACCAGTATGCATATCTAACCAATTATGATCTACCGATCCGAAGAGCCTAACCAAAATAGGTCAGCATGAGCAACATCAAGACAATGAACGTGTGCTATGTGAATCTTCTTTATATTTGTTACTAAAAAATAATAGCATCTTACTTTGGAGGACAAAAATTTATTAGAAAAAAATCCAAATAACCCCATAGACTTTATTTGAAAGTCCATCTAGCATTCTAAAGTTTGAAACCTTACATTTAGCATCCTAAATTTTATAATACCGTTCATATCGGTCCCTAAGGTGTTTTTACAAAGTGTTTTTTTATTTAATTTGCATATACATTAGCTGAGATTTGATCATGTGACATACGTACTGGACATACATGTTAAAATTTTCACTTAAATATAATCTTTCTTTTTACCCCTTATTCGCTCTTACTTACAAGAAAAGTACCGGCGTAACAATAGTATGACATCACTGTATATTATAAATTGACAACCTACAATTGATGATACATAAATATATTATATTAGTTGTTTAAAGCCGTTTGTTTAAGTTCCTAAATACACAAAAACCACTATCCAAAACTGAACAGAGGTATGCATATGGTTGTTTAAATATCATGGCAGACCTTTGTTCGGTTTTAAAGTTTAGGGTGCCAAATGGACTTCCATTTGAAGTTTTTTATGCGGGGGGTAGTTGGATTTTTTTTTTCAAATTTTATTTGGTTTATATCCATATAGGAAAAATTTCAGAAAAATGGCATATGTATCCTCGTGGTGAAATTTACATCTAACTTTACTTTTGAAGGTTTTTATTCATGCATCGATTTTAGGGTGTCTATCCTTATAGACTTTTTATTGTGATATTGTAATTGCCTTTATAAGCTCATTAAATTGGGCAACAATTAGGACAAATAAATATAATGATATTCCACAAAGGCCTATAACCTCGATAGTAAAGCTCATTCGTCAACTTTGGCACTGAATTATCCTCTGCTGTCACCTTCTATGCTTCCATCTCCTTGTATTTGTCTTCTTTCTCTCTATTCACAGTAAATTTAACCTAACCACACATATTATGGTCTAAGTTACACAATATCACAGAAATTTTAGCATGTGACAAATAATCATAAAATATCATAAAACCACACTATTGATCATTTTGACTTTGATCTAACACATTTTTAGTTCTACAATCACATATAATATTCATGAGTTTTCTTTATCCATCATATAAATGTTGCGTCCATGTATGTATAGCATTTTAAAATTTTGATATAGGATCATGTCAAATTGGTTAACAATGTGGTTTTGTGAAGCTTTAGAACCATAATACCTGGGATTATGCATCACGTGTCAAAATCCCCATGGTTTTGTGCAACTTTGACCATAATTAAGTGGGGTTTTATGAAATTTACTCGTTTTTTTTTTGCCCCTTTACTAGACCAGCTTAGCATATGGATAAATAATATAAGATGATTTCATGGGGTTGTAATTAAAGGCCTATTATCATAAGAAATCTTCTTTTCTAAGGACATTACAATAAGTTGGTCATGACACTGCCATATCATTATCTATGCTATAAATACTTGAAAAGTATGCACAACCTTTGTACTGTTACAAAATATTGAGGCTTCTAGCCAATGTTATCAGCATATTTAATCCATCGTCACTTCTTTTCCATACATCGTTGTACATAAACACATCATAGAAATAATATTATAGAGCTTGTGTCCCTATTTCATATTGGTGACATTGATTCATGGTGTGAGAGGTCCTATTTGTATATATAAGTGTTTCATAGAAAACATAATCAAATAGGCCTTACTCATGAATCATGATAGTCGTGTTTAAGTAAAGGTGCATTATGTGTCTGATAACCAAAAAAGTACACAAGCCAACAAATCTATGACATGTCATTGTTGCCATGTTCTAATTATGAAAGAAGGAAGTAAAAATGACATAGCAAACACAACCATTGTCATCATGAATTGACTGCCAAAGTTTATAACTACCCTTTACATAACACTGTTTTTTTTTGTTATGTTTTGCTTGTAATAACCTCTTCATTTTCAAAAGAATAAATTTCACAAAACTATAAGTATTTTGTACAATTTATCACGAACTACAGATTTAAGAGCTTGTTTCACAAAACTACAGATGTAAGAACTTGTTTCATAAACTTATAGATTTAGTGTATTCGTTTATCACCGAACTACACATTTAGTGTCTTAATTTATCACAAAACTATAGGTTTTATGTCTCCATTATAAAACCTATAGCTTTGTGATAATGGAGACAATAAACCTGCAATTTTGTGATAAATGAAGATATTAAATTTGTAGTTTTGTGAAACAAGTTCTTAAATATGTAGTTTTGTGATATATGTGCAAAGTACAAGTAGTTTTGTGATAAACAAAGACACTGAATCTGTAGTTTTGTGAAACAAGTTCTTATAAATTTGTAGTTTTGTAATAGATCGTATAAAGTATTTGTAGTTTTACAAAATTTACTCTTTTCAAAAATATATTCTTGCAGTATAGGATTCCCGCATGGTTCACCAACCAAAAGACCAAAGGAGAGGTGTATGAGGGATTGAGGGGAGCATTATGCAAATACACTAGTAAGTGATAATTCCATAAAAAAGCTAGAGGTTACTTCCAAGCACACTAAGGCCCTGTTTGTTTCAGCTTAAGATTATTGTAATCTAGATTTATAGAATTAGATTACTATAAGCTGGATTATAATAAGCCGACATAGAATAAGCTACTAGCTGTTTGTTTCTCTGGATTATTATCTGTTTGTTAGTTGTTAGTCACCCAATAATCTAAAATAAGCACCTTTAGAGTGGCTTACCAGATTATAGTAATCTGGCTTATAGATTATAATAATCTATCATAATAAGCTATTTGTTTATTTCAGCTTACTCATAATAATCCAGATTATAATAATTCTAAGCTGAATCAAACAGGGCCTAAGTCTCTGAAGATTGTTGTTATGAAGGTAGGGCTTGGCACGATGAGTCGATGACTAGAAATAGTAGTGGATGAGCTCAATATGGTTGGACGACAAGAGAAGAGAACTATAGGACGGTGAGAAGGAGGAATGAAGAAAATGGAAAGGGACAAGAAGGCCACAATGGTATATATCAAACACAATACTATGTTTTAATATGTTATTTTTACAATTCAGTTTGTAGATTCTTAGTGCCCTTATTTAAAGAGTTAATTTTTAGAGTACTATAAATTATTTTTTCCCTTATCTTTGCTTACCAGTCTTGACAAACTAAGTTAAAATAAGAAGTAAACATAACACAGAAATAGGGGGAAAACGTATGTCTAGATAAGATCCACTTTCACTTCACCCATAAAAAGGGGGAAATCAAATTGCTTAGCATTACCAATAAAAGCAATGTAATCATAACTATTCAACTCGATCAACCAAATTGTCCAAACACAACCAAAATGGATACACATGAGGACTCCGGCTTGCAACCGATGATGCAATCTTAGACTAATTAATAATAGCTTTTCGACACCTAAAATCCATACAGAGAATTGGTAACAATTACATGGAATTCCTAATTACATATGGTTTCTCCCCAAATCAATTGAGTGCATCAGTGCAATAGGTAGACAACTCCTATAACCACCACAAATATATGCATAATCTTTTAAAAGTTATCTTTTTTTTTGTTTGTGCCCCTTTTGAAACCCAAGCATCAGTCACTTCAATTCACCAAGTTGATCTTGAGCTATTTCTCAACAGATTCATAGGACTATCGACCAAAGAGGAAGTGTTCCTTTGAAGGAGATTGGAGGAGGTGGTGACCCTAGTATCTATTGCGTATGAATTGTCCGCTATGTTTAGGGAAGCCATTGATGACCGGTGAGGATCGTAGGGTTTAAGGTGGCTACTAGTGAAAAGGAGGATGAGAGGAATATACAAAAGTGAGGAGGGAGAGGAAGAAGATGGGCGATGACAAGAAGGTTATAGTAGTATATCGACTTTGCTTCTTCTTTTTTTTTTCAGTTTCTAGATTTTGAGCAACATTCTTTAAAGTGACATTTTTTATAGTGGCATAAATAAAAACATTCTCTATCTACCAATCTTTATTCATTCAGTTAATATAAAAAATAATATTGAAAACAAGGAAGAACAACTATCTAGATAATACCCACTTTCACTTCACCAACCATTAACAATAATAAAAAAAATAAACATACAATATATTATCTACACAGCAATATCATACTAATTTAATTTGATTAGTTAAATCGTAATAAGAGAAAAATAGGCACAACACATACACAACCACCCTGACTCTAAGATAAAGTTCATCTAGAAGACTACCGGTAGTAATAACGCGTGAGTTTTCTATTCCAATGAAAAAAAAAGGAGAAGGAAAAACCGTATCTAACTAAGTATAGCCACCGTGGTAGCCAAGAGCCCCCCCACGACTTAATCCTATAAAACCCCCGCGATAATAATCCGCAACCTAGCTCCCCCCACCCCCTCCCTTTTTCTCTCTTTTCTTTTTGTTGTTTTCTCTCTCGCTCGCTCTCGCGTTGCGCCTGCGCCCCTTCCACCCCGCAGCCGCCGGCCGCTTCCAATTCGACTCCTCCCCCTCGCCGCCGCGGAAGCCGCCGGGCCGCGCGCCGCCGCCGATTCCCCGGCGGATTCGAGAGACTCGTCCGCCGATCAGAGGAGAGGAGAGGAGGCACCCGCCTCCAGGAGTAGAGGAGGAGGAGGAGGCGGCGTGAATTTGTTTTTTTTTTCTTTTTTGGTGTGTGTGGGTGTGTGAATTGCGGTTCGTGTGGTTCGTGTCTAGTGGGTGAGGCACCCCCCCTAGGGTTTGAGGGCGGCCTCGCTAGGGTTTGGGCCCCCCCGCGCGAGGGGAGGGAGGAGGAGGCTGCCCTAGCGGAGGAGGAGGTGGAGGTCGCCCCCTGGTGTTGTGGGGAGGAGGAGGCGGCTGAGGCGGAGGTCGGTGTGGTGTGGTTGTGGTGTCGCATTGCGGAGGACGATTGATTGTGCTGGTGGGCGCTGATTGGATCGGAGGGAGGAGGAGGAGCCATCCCTCTCTCCCCGCCGTTGCTAGGTGGGTAGATGGTGAGAGGCGCCGGCTGCCATGGAGCAGGACTTACCGGCGCTCAAGCCGCAATGGCTGGTGCAGGGCCAGGTCACCACCACGGGAGCCGCCAACCTCTGGACCGTAGCTTCGCCCCGCCCAGGCCCAGGTGAGCTCCACTGGCCTTGCCAATTTTGTGTTTTTTTTTCTTTTCCTTTGTTGCACTTGTGATTGCTAGTATGCTATAAATGTGATATATATCCCCTTTTGGGAATTGCTATGTGTTATATACTGTATAGTGGCATCAGGATATCGGTGTGAAACCGGTGATAGTTGTTGATTCATTCCATAGCAATCAGACATGAGTTTAGGGTTTTTTGGTGGTTCTGTATTGAGATGTTCATGGGAGCAATCTTCTCTTAATGTACTCTCTAACTCGTAGTTTTGGTTGATATGATTGAATTTGTTATGTAGTTTCATAATTGATTATTAGGTGACTGATATGGAAAAGTTAAGAGTAATCAGGTAGATTTCATCTGTATCTTTTTACAACCAATGTGTCCTGTATCACGAAATAATGCTTATTGTTTGAGTGCTATAAGGTGTTTCTAGGCACATGCTCTGTTGGTGTCACTGAAATGTAACAAAGCTTAAGATACTACTCTCTTCAAATAACTGTAAACATATAGTGATATTGTTGAAAATCTTATCATGCTTGCCACAACTTATCTACAAGAGAGACATACTTTAGTTATATGCACACCAAGCAAGTGATTACTACTCAATTTATGACATGTTTGCCTCTATTAATTATATACATGTCAATGTAATAATATCACCGATAACATTTAACAAAGTTCATTTGGTGGGCCTAGAAAAACTGAAGTGATAAGTATTTGTAATCTTTATAAAATGACATGACATTTTATTTTGACCATATGGAATAGAGTACAGAGAAGTTTCTTTGGCTGTATCAGTTGATTTATTGTAGTGCTTAGTTTTTTTCCCGATAACAAACACCATGCTTTGCATTGAGGATGTTTGTAGAGTACAGAGAAGTTTCTTTGGCTGTATCAGTTGATTTATTGTAGTGCTTAGTTTTTTCCCGATAACAAACACCATGCTTTGCATTGAGGATGTTTGTGATGTTTAGTTTCCACTGATATCACTGGATTTATGGTAGTGCTTAGTTTTTTTTCCTGATAACAAACACCATGCTTCGCATTGAGGATGTTTATGCTATTTAGTTTCCAGTGATATCACTGGATTTATGGTAGTGCTTAGTTTTTTCACGATAACAGAAACCATGCTTCGCATTGAGGATGTTTATGCTGTTTAGTTCATAGGGATGTTTATGTTGTTTAGTTTTCAGTGCTATCATTGTAGGGCTTCGCATTGAGGATGCTTATGCTGTTTAGTTTTTAGTGATATCATTGTCCGTCAAGTCTAAGACACTTATTTCCGAATTTGGTAAACTATATATGATCATTTACATTGGTAACAAATATTTTCTTGGCATTTTCAGATAACCAAGGTAGGGGTGGTTCATCAAGGAACCATTCATCATCTGGCCACCACCGTGACCAGAATTCTAGGACATCTTCGTCACGGATTTCCTCAAATGGGCCCCGTAAACATGACCGGGACCGGGATGGTATGGGAAAGTCGAGGGGTTATGCAAGTTTTGGTAGAAACAGGGAAAGGGAGCGAGAGAAAGAATTTGACTCCCGTGACAGAGAGAGTAGGTCCATTACAGCAGACGGTTTTGGGTCGTTTAGTACATGTAGACCGGAAAGGGATAGATTGAATCGTTCCCGCTCGAGGACAGATTCATGGAATAAAGGTGTAGTTAGTCCAAATAATTGTAATACCTCTAGAAACAATACTGGTACTGGTGGCTCCTTTGAACGAGAATTTCCACAGCTGCCTTTTGATGACAAGAGGCAAGATATCAACAGAGTACCATCTCCTGCCTCTCCAATTCAGAGAACTGTTGCACCGGATCGTTGGAATTCACTGCTAGCGGATGTCCCTGGCTCAAGTGAGCCAAAGAAAAACCTGGGTGTATCTTCTGTATTACGACCGGCTCCTAGTAAACAGCCTGAGGCAGCGCCGAACAGCGGGATCTCATTGAGCATGGCGGAGACTGTGATGCAAGTTCCTTTGTCAGTTGGGCCTCAGGTATTGCACATAATGAGTTTTTTGATACATTTTGCGATTATCTCTTGGCTTTCTGGATTCATGTGCATATTCTTCTCCTAACAGTTATCGATGGAAGCCCAAAAGATGGAAGAAATCAGTTTAAGACAGAACACTCTAAGGCCTATGACATCTCCAGCAATCAAATCTTCAGTAAGTTATATTTTTCCTTGACATCAAAATAATGATTCACATTTAGTAGGTGTCTATTGTCTGCCATCATTTGTGATTAACTTTTGGTCTTTGGCGAGAGTCTAATTGATTTCCATTAAATGTTGGCACTTCTATTTGCCAAATACTTTAGTGATCCCATAAATGAACTTATAAAGAGTTTTTATTGTTGGGATGGATATTTCCTATCACCATTGTTGCACAGAAAACATTTTTCATTGTTCATGGTGTAATTACCATTTGGAAATATCCTAGACGGTTTACAATACCATGAGTGAGATAGAGACTATCATGCCCCCTGGTATATAGGTGTTAAAACTACTCAACATGATATATAAAAGCTGCAACTATCAGTTCCTAGTAATCCCTAATTCTATGGATGCTCTGCTGTTATTCCCAGTTCAGTGGTTCGATCTTATCCACAACCACCTTATTTGCTAGCAGTGAGTCCCCACCCCACCCCCCCACCCCCCCCCCCCCCAAAAAAAAAAGTGTTTTGTGTTAAGCTGCTGCTTCTAGTTATGTTTTGTTTCACCACAACTTCTGCAGCACTGGGTGTTCTGATTAAGTAATTCATTTCATTATTCAGGTAACAAATTCTTCAAAAACAAAAGGTGTGAGAAATGGAGATCCTTCTGGTCCCATCAAGGCACATCAATCATTAATACCGTCCACAAATGGCTCTGCTCGAGCTCCAGTTAAAACTGATCTTTCAAAGGTATCTCACGCAGGAAATCTAAAAATCCTCACCCGAGAGCAAAACTGTACTATACACACTGCCAAAGACTGTCCTGACAATCCTATGAGTCCTCCTCCAGCTCCTGTTGCTTCAGTGGAACCACTGAAAAAGCCATGTGTTAGCCAAAAGCTTAAGGTTGCCACCCATGACATTCCTCTCTCTATACTGCAAAGTGCTTATGTAGATAAAAAATTAAATGCAAGAGATAAGCATAGATTCTTTGAGTCGTTGAGGATCAAGTCTTCAAATGGTTCAAGCTCAACTGCTGAGTCAGGTTGTCCATCACCATCCAGTGTAGCTGATGTGAAACAAGATTCTTGTCTTAATGTTGGAAAAGATGTATCCTTGTATCATTCTGGAAAAGATATATCCTTATATCATTCTGGAACAAAATGTATGGGAAATGGAAAGTGTTCCTGTGAAGAAGCAAATTCTTCTGATGGATCTCAGAGGCATCTGTCTGATAATGAGAACAATTCATCCTTGGATCACACTGCAGATGGGGTTTCTCAGAATCTTCTAGTAGAAAGCAGGTCCATCTCATCATCTGAACCTTCTGATAGGGGAGATGAATTCCGGGTGTTCCTATCAAACAATACCGAAGGCAGTTCATCATCAGCACCTGCTGATTCAGATGATGGGTACAAGAGATCCCAGTCTGGCAGTGAGGAAGCTAGTTCATCCTCAGAGACTACCGAACCAGGAGATGAGGAGCATCCAGCTGAGGATAGTCTTCCTGCTGATTTTGTGGCTTTCATGATATCTCTCGGCTGGGAAAAAGACAAAAAGGTGGAACCTTTGGGACTGGAAGAGATTGCTGTCACTGTAAGTTTCCATTTGCATCCTAGTTTCTCATTGGTCTATCTTTGTTTTCCTTAAACAAAAAATAATTGTTCAACATGCCCACTTCACCAAAGTTAGAATCTGATAGTGTTTCAGTAATCTTTATTTACTTAGAAACTTCTGCTATCATTTTGTTGTGACACTTGTTCTAATCTTTCAGGTGAGGGCTAATGAGGAGCTAGAGCAGAAACTTTTGTCCATGGAAGACAATGCCAACATCAAGATCGTTCTCCTGTATATCTATTCGGGCAGAGGGCTGGATAAGGAGCTGATGAAGCCTAACGCAGGGGATAAAAACAATGCTTGAAGAACGCAGGTGCTAGGGAGTAAGGCCACAGTAGCTATCTGCAAAAAAATGCATTGCCAATCACACATCAGTGAGCAATTGGGCGTTGGTTTTGTTTGGATGCTGAGAAGACAGGTAGCAAAGGGAGTCTTGGCCTGAATTTTGTCTTAGATTAACAAGTCAAGATTATTTTTTTTCCTCTATTGACGCTTGTCCAGCAATTTGGGGAGGTGGGGGTTCACTGGTAGCTCTGACAATTTTTTGCTTGATAAAACAGAGGAAGTTTAGGATTTGTCGTCTTTTTCCCAGGAATACCAAAATGTAAGTCCGGTTATTGGAGGCGCATGGCTGTGCTGTCCTTTAAAAAGAATAGGTTCAAGTTTTCCCCCTTCTCAGGGCTTATCTTTGTTTTGGAAAAAGATAAGATGGGTTTTTAACATGAGGAAAGGTGAATAGTTATATTGGTCTCAAAAGGTCTGTCTCCTTTTGTGTCTCTCGTTCGTTTACTGTGGTGTGTTTAGTTGTTGTTTCTCGGTGTTCCCTTCATAAGATAATCTTCAGGGAGATGCATTCTGAGCGTGCATGATAGTAACATCTAATGATCTTGCTTTGATCCAGCAGTTCTCAATTACTAATGATCTTGCTTTGATCCAGCAGTTCTCAATGGGCAGACATTTGCTGATCATCCTTTTACAAGGAATCAAGGATTATAATGCAGGGATTTCGTATGAGACAATTTGATCCTTGCAGCGCGTTCGAAAACTCTGTTGTTAAACCAGGGACTGAGAGGGTCCTCCACTAGGGATGGTAATTGTGACCGTTTGCCCGTTTACTTGTGGTTAAAAACTTTATTAGGGTTGGGTTTGTTCTCTATTTTATACCCATGAGTATCTTATTGGGTCAAAAGCTATGCCCGATAGTTAAATGGGTATGGGTATAGGTAATCACTACCCATGCCCGTTTACCCGTGAAGTCTAACTTACATGTAGGCGAGGAGCAAAATCCACTAGAATACATAAGCTACGTTCTTTGTTTTCTACGGTTTCCCTTTTATTTTTCTTATTATTTCTCTTCTCCTTACTCTATCGCCGCCAAAGGAGAGACACCACACCGAGACGGAGAATATTTGATGTTTTAAGTTCAATTCGAACTTAGAAGCTTGTAGACTTGTTCCACTGCTTTTGTTGTGTCGGGTAAACGGGCACGCCCGCGGGCACAAGACACTCGCGGGCAATGGGCATGGGCAAACATCCTTACCTGTCATGTAGTAATGGGTATACCCACGGGCACAAATAATCTCATGGACACGGGTATGGGTAGGCACTACCCGTGCCCGTCGCGCCCGATTGCCATCCCTATCCTCCACTGCTCACTGACACATGGCCCACATGTCAAATGACCTGCACGAAATTGAGTGAATGATGCTACGTCATTAGCAGGAACAAACGGTGACTATTGATTGTCGCACCATGGCCAGCAGCCAACTCCATATTCTGGCAGGGATTAATTCACTAAAAAAATGAAAATACTCTAGAAAAAACTACAAAAAGAATTGATCAAAATTTGCATGAAACAACGTTTTCTACATATCACTTCGATTTTTTCTACTTTGGTACACGGCACCTGAGAAACAACTCCCCCCTACATCTAAATGCAAGCCACTCCGGTCTCTCCTTCCCTCTTCGCATCACCAAGTCACCAATGGTGACACCAAAAAATAGCCACATCTACCGAATACTCTGAACAAGTAACATTTCACCATTTCAGTTCAAGCTAGCACTTGTGTAGTTGCGTAGCCGTGTTGCCATCTCGTCAATCCAAACCACCAGAAATGAGTCGAGTCCATCAGCTAAGGTGAGTGAGACCATAATATGCCCTGTTTCCAACATTTCCAGATTGTCGCTGGAGCAAGATCTCTCCATCAATCATCAGCCTCGTTGAGCCTACGAGGGAGCATTCGCCTGTGCAAAGGTCACCATGCGAGCCTACCCTGTATGTTAAATATTTACGGGGCAGCGGGTTTCTTTCTTCGCTAGATTAGAGCACTCCAAACAGCAGAATCTCCTTCACCGCATCGAGCATGTACTTCCTTGATCCTCTCGACCGACTTGCATATGCCGCTGCAGCTCCAATCGAAAGACGCCACACAGACATTGCCAGCTTGTCCTTTCCACTCGCAATCTGCGGAGTTGTTATTCAAAATTTAGAGGGAAGGGATGAAAAAATGGAAGCGTGTACGAGAAGCATTGGTCAAGATCGAGGAAACGCACCTGGTGGAGTCCCGCAGCACATGTTTCTTTCATCGATATGATTCACTTCTAAACCAATAAACCATGAACCAAGTGATACATCTTCGTTCGCAAATTTGTGTAAGATAGGCCTGACAAAACATCATTGGAAACATTAGTATTTTTTCGGTCATAAGGATTTTGCATGGCATGGCATAGGAAACATACTGGTTGATTGAAATGTAGGTCGCGAGGTCTTTTGAAATCGCGTATATCTGCCCAGTAGCATGACGGAAGTATTTGTTCCCTTCCTCCCCAAATTTCCAGTACTCAGGTTCATGGTACTTCACATTCCTGTATGAAAGGAGCCAGTTCAAGCAGACATTTACTTCAAGCTACAAGTCAAATTTAAATTTCAAGATAGGGGAGTTAACGTTACTTGTCAGCGAGAACTGGGCCTGACTTCATGCATCCAATATACGTTCTTGGTTTTGATTTATGCCGAGCAAGGGTAGTGGCAAGCATTCCTGTTATGTTGTCACATGAAGTGGGTTATTATAGATTTCAACATAAGGCCAATCGGCACGTGAAAAAAAAAATATACCCACCTAAGTTCACATGCACATCATCATCAACCTTCACATAAAAGTCAGCATCCCAAATACCAACTGCTGTAGAGAAGAAAATCTTTGTCTTAGCTGAGAGTTCATGATACCCTTCTACATGGTCCTGGTTGAACAAATGAACACATGGTAAAATGTCAGTGCTGGTTCAAGGAAAGCATGTTCAAAGCTTTGAAAGGCAGGAAAGCATTACTTACTAGTCTAAGAAAGTCACGATGCTGAGCATCCTCTGAATCTATAGCTTTGTCCAATATACTGTTGGATGTAGCACTGCACAGCCATCGAAGCAGTTAGTATTTATACGAAATTTAAAAAGTATTTCAAGTTTCGATATACACATATATGGGAACATATGAAAACACGTGTTCTGCGGTGATTTATAGAACAAGGCAGTATATTAATTCTGGTTTTATCATTGAAGTCAGCTATGCACAACCAAAAGCCCTTTCAGATTGGCACAACTGATTATTACAAAACAGAGGAAGCAAAAATGGATTTATAAAGTTCTACATAAACAAATTATCCACTAGATTTCAGTGCATTCTCAAAAATCTTAGGAACTTGGTGTATTCTGCACACAAACTAGCTCTTAGCAAGCACAAGGATGGAATCCAAATGTCCTTGATGACAAAGATACTTAAGAACTACATATTTTTGCAACATGAGGTATGTTATAATGTTGTCCACTATACCAGTTCCCAGTTCTGACATTTCAGGAGGTTATTTGCATGCTATTTTTGCAGGCATATTTTTGCATGTTATGGTAATAAAGGTATAGTGGAAGAAGTTGCTATCTAACATAAAAGAGAACCGAATGTCCAAATGTATGATTGAAACCACATGCAAAGATAAAAAGGACAAGTGATTACTGATTAAACTGTAAAACGCACTAGGAGTACAAGAACCCTCTGTTTACCTATGCCCTATAGTGAAGCGGATAACAATTCCCTTTTGATCTTCTAGTTGCTGCAGCTTTGCACCTAAGAACAAGAAGTTCTAGTTAAAAAATGACGACAATGATAGCTTATGGAATCCAACAATGGAAGGGCTAACAATTAGCATGGTGATGATATCATAAATATTTCCAAAATTACTAGCAGAACTATATGAACAGAATGATCATATGCATTATACATATTTCCTAGAAAGATGGACCCCAGAAGGAATTTTAAGTGCTGACTCCTATAAGAGTATGCAAGATACCACCAGCATCTATCACATTCGACTTATGACTTATCTATGGAAGATGGCGTCAACGTAAATGGCAAAGACTAAGGTCAATCTTCTAGACTAATTGCATGCTCGTACAGATTAAGCTAAGCTAGTCCAAGTAGAACTATGAATTGCTTCCTACTTAATAAACTAATTCGTAGTAAGTCAAAATATGTTATTTAAATTTAAACTGTCAGATAAAATAGAGAGCTTAGAATTCAGTGTCATGTGCCACATGACGTGCATGTGATGAAAAACTAGTTCCAACAAATATCGTTATAGCAGCAACCATTGGGCCACTAGGAACTAAATAATCAAGCTAAGAGCCTTGGAGATGATGATGATTAAAAATGAAATGTCTAACAATAATAGAACCGTCTTGCTAGTTCATCCATAAAGTTATAATACAAGAAATAGCAACCTTGAGGCATCCATGTCTCTCGCACTGAATCACGGCGCTTGCGGCTGCTGAATGCGGTGTTTACTCCAATTACAACAAATGCCTTCTTCCTTGGTTGGCTAGTTTCTGAGGTTACTGGTGAGCCACCAGCACGGAGAAGTTCCAGCGTGCTACGCTTAGCTGCAAGTTCCATCTGCAGCGTGGAGATGGACTTATCCAACAATCTAACGCCACAAAACAAATCCAAAGGAGAGAATCCTTTCAGAAACAAATATTCAAGCAACTCGTAACCATAAAGTGAACTCCAACTAGGGTCAAGTGAGCTCACTGTATGGCTTCGTGGGTCTTGGTTACCTCACCCATTATGTCCTTGTCTTCTCCATGCTTCTGCAAATCCAATTGAAGAAGCATATGGCAGATTACATGAGATCAATGGCAAAAAGACTAGAACCATGTGAATCTATTTAAATTTGGAGCCCACCCTCTTTGTATTGCAATCCTCTGATATGAGTTGCAACTCCCTATCCTGCCTCCGGCGTTGAGACATGATGTGGTTACTGGTATCAGGTGCCGTCCAAAAACTGTAAAACCACCCAAAAGAAATCGTCAGGGAGATGAAAGAGCAACCAAGAAAAGATAATCTGATCATCAAAATGCATGAATTCAAAAATAAAAAGGATCAGGAACCATAATAACCCGTGTCATTGCCTTTCCGTTATTTGATTAATTTCACTATTTCACAGCCTCGATATTTGAAATGAGCAACTGAACCTATGAACTATGATACCAAATCCCAGCTAGTTCGTATGCCAAGTTCCAGTCTAAATGGAATATACTGAACTACTGAAGACAATTCCATCAAGAAAAGTATAACTTGAACTTGTTGCAAAAATATATTTCCTCCTTAAAAAGGTTGAAAAGCTAAATCCGACCATAACACTCAATGACAATAATGCAGTTGTTCCGAATCCAAAGCTATCATAAATGAAAATAAGCCCACACACAGCATTACTACTGTCTAGTGTCTACATCAAGTACGAATCCACACAGGAAGGCCACCACTTCATTGGGAGAAGCAAAACATCCTCAAAATGCAAGCTTTTGATAGATCTCATACAGGTATTAGGTGAAAAGAAGCTCACCTAACACAAGCAAAAATTCCAATCCTTCTTCGATTTCTAACCAAAATTAGCTCACCCAAAACAGCAAAAATCCCATCCTTCTTCCATTATTAAACCAGATTACACTCTACTAAATGCAGCATTTTTTTCCCTTTTCCTTTAACATGAAAATAGCAAAGTTTTTTTTTGGGTAGAAACTAATGCGGAAACAGTGAGCTAAGCATCACCTAACCACACACGCACGAGCAGATACAGCAGAAGAGAACACCTGCACCAGTCCACATCGAAACGCGATCTCCCGTTCTTAAAAAAAAAAAGGCGATCTTTTCACCAACTCCAGAATCCCAGATCGCCATGAACTCCGGAAGAGGAGAAAAACAAATCTTGGCACGCCAAGTTTTTTTCAAGCAGCCCGAAACGCCATTGGCTATGATTAGAAAGCTTTTCTTTTCAAACTCCAAATCTCAAACGGGTCGATCTCAAAAAAAAAGAAGGATTAATCTCAGATTGGTCAAAGACCAGGGGAGAATCTACCAATGACCACCCAGAGACCACTTTTTTTACCCGACCACCGTAACAAGGAAACCGCACGGCGAGATCCGCCGCCGCCACCGGCGAGAGAGGGGAACTGGGAGAGGGAGAGAGACGCACCGATCCGTGAAGAGCATGCCGAGGCCGAAGCAGAATGCGCAGAGCAGCAGCATCCTCCACCGCGCGGAGGACCGCCTGTCCACCGCGCCGCCCTTCCCCTTCATCATCATCGCCGCCAGCCGAGCTCCAGCGCCCCCCCCCCCCCCCCCCGGGATCTTGGCCGCCTCCAAATCGTCGGAACCAAAAAAAAAAAAAAACCCTGACCACCAACAAGACGAAGAACAAGAAGCTCCCCCCGTTGGCGCGGCAAGGCCCAAACCCGCGAGGAGATAGAGAAGAAGAACAGGGAGGGGTCAGAGATTGGCGGTGAGCCGACCGGAGAAGAGGAAGAGGAGAGATGAGGAGGAGGAGGAAGCAGCTGCTGGTTTTGCTTTGGTTTGCTTGGCTTCGCCGTCTCAAACAAACGAAACTATGGAGCGCGTGATGGCCTCCTCCTTGTTTTTGCCTTTCCTTTTTCCTCACAGCTTTTAAAAATTATTATTCACTATTAACATTTCAGTTTCCTTTTCCTCTCTTTCTTTTCTTTTTCTTTTGTTTTTGTCTTTCTCCTTTTGAGCTGTGCTGCTGGTAAGTACAGTATATTTCTTCTGTTTTCCAACTCTGTTTCTTCCTCCCTTTTTTTTCTTCAAAAATCTCTTCCCTCGAATTCAGTGGGTGGGTCCATCATCTAGCAACCCGGGCTCGTCGATCAATATGTAATACTCCCTCCGTTTCACAATGTAAGTCATTCTAGCATTTTCCATATTCATATAGTTGTTAATGAATCTAGATATATAAATACGTCTAGATTCATTAACAACTACATGAATGTGGGAAATGCTAGAATGACTTATATTGTGAAACGGAGAAAGTAGTATTTTAATATTGATATAAAAATCGAAAATATTATCTAAAAAATAAGAACTAAAAATAGAATTGTCGATTTGTCCGGCCTTTAAAAAAATTTTCTTGGCTTTGCAGCTACTTTAATTGTGGCATGAAAAATTCTTCATTTGAAGTATAAAAGGGAGTATATTAAGAATGAATATACAAATGAAGCAACATTGCAATGGTTGTAGAATTAATACAAAATGTACTTTGGTGTGCTTTGGTTGGATACAAACCCATTAGTTGTTTAATCATGTGATGTTACGCTGGGCTAAATTATTACTATTAGCCAGAGAGGACGGGAGTACCTGCTGCTTGGTTGGATTACCTGGGACAGTGTGTTGAGTTAGGTCACCAATGCCTCTCTTGGATGTGACCACATGAGCTAATTTTGGGTCTCCACATGTTACAAAACCACATTTTGAAATTTGAACAGATGACCAAACATAAGAAAATTCAGTACAAACAAGTAAAAAAAATATACAGCCAATTTGATATGCTGGCATTCAGAATTAAAATGGATAAACTTAATAACTAGGAGTAGTAGCAAAAGGGGAATAAAAGAATAATCCAATTAGATGTGCTGGCGACATTGGAGCTAGCCAACACGGTTGGGAATTTCTTTTGCCAGTCAAGCCGGAGATTCGATAGTCAAGACGCAAGCACCACTCTGATTAATTAGGAAACAATGGTTAAGAGAATCATTAGTGCATGCTAGTTGTTAGGCAGGAAGAAGAACCATGGTCCAAAAGTCCAAACCGCCAGCTTAGCTCAGCTCAGTTACGTGCATTCGTGCGGCAACACCAACGTGCCATGCACGATGAGTTGGCTGGTAGTGACATTTTACGCAATTCCGATGGTTGGCTGGAAACTCGTCGATACATTGTATGACATGAAAGCATATGTAATATTTTTTTATAAGCACAGCACAACATAGAAACGCAGACCCCCACTATACGGGTACACTCATCCCTATAACACACATATATAATACTAATATGTTTTCTTAATAAATGATATGGTTAACTTTCTGATATGTTTAATCACCCGTCTTACTTAAAAAACTTTTATGAATGCTGTTTGTTTTGTTGTGATTTGTTTTACCATAAGAAAACTTTAATCCTAACTTGTATTTACACTATTTTTTTCATAACACAAATGATTAAGTAAAAAAGTTAATAGTGCCGTATGTTAGAAAAACGGATACAAGTAAACTACGAATGCATAGATGTACAATAATCTTCTTCTAGAACGAACTTACTTTCATGTCGGGACACCGGCCAACATTTTTTTTTTCTTTGAGATCTGGTTCTGCATTATTTCGATCCAGTTGCTGGTTCTTTCCCCCCTCCTATTAAAATATACAACGGATTCTATTTTGCTTGCGAACACAATGGATTATACACATTAAAAAAAACTTAATTTATTTATGTGAACATGTAAATGATGACTTGTTTGGCATATGCTTTACATAGCTTGTGGCCAGTCCAACTTATGGCCTAAGCCAAAAAAGAAAAAGAAAATCTCCCCTTGGTTAATTAAGCTTCACTGCTAAACAAACCTATCTGAGGTGGTGTGTCAAGCATTGACAAAGATTTGTCATTTGTGGATGTTGATGCATGAGCTTGTGATCACAAATCACAATTAGACGCCGGTGGACAACCCATTTTCTTGCAGTGGTTGCCTGGCAGCTCGTTTCTGAACCAGCCAATCATTTCACAAAGCCAATAAGCTTTGAGCCGGGCCTATATAATTATGATTAGATTCTGCACCAAAGATTCTACATGCATGGACCACAATCGCATACATATATGATTTGATGTCATATATATACCAGTACTTTATTATGTAGGGAGATGATTTGCAAGCTTAACATTGACCATGTTAGGTAGTAGAAACATTCTATCTAAAATGGATACTAGAAGGTCAGGTTAGGTAGAAATGTTTGGTAAGTTTCAACTTGCAAAACTGAATGTTCTTTTTGGAAGTAATTGGGCTATGGCATGTGACTTTGTGACACTAGAGGTTTCAGACTGTTCAAGTGGCATACTGGAGCTGCTTCTCTCACTTTTGACATTGTTTGGTAGTGACATACTAATCATACCCATGATCTAGGAACTATTTTTCCCCCAACCCAACAGAGTACACCCTCTGTAGGCTATGTCCAATAGACAATTCATGTATAAAAGTGAACTTAATTTGAGACAGAGAATATAGTAACTTGGAAATGGCGACATGAATTTTTTTTTTGTTCAAACAGCCCCCCTAAGTAGTACTACAGTAATGTCAACAACCAAATCCCAATTGAAAATGATTGATAACTGATAAGCACAGGAGTGGCATGGCTAATACTTTGCCAGAAAACCATGCCTTGTTACACCCTATCGTCTTCTGCATCAGAGGTTTGGTTGGACCAATACATCAAGTGAAGTCTTCAGAAAAGGGACTTCTTTAGCTTAGAAAAGCCCCCTGCAAATCAACACCAACTCATGAACTGTTAATTAGAATCCACGAATATACTCAGGACGTGTATTGTAAGGCAAAGAAAATTCCCACTGTTCTACAAAGATGTGTATCTGTCAGTGGCCTACTGGTCAAGCTCAAGCAGGATAACTTCAGACAAGTCTATGCATACATCTCCGTGGAACATGTGGAATGCAATTGTGTAAAGCAGGTTGTAAAGTTATTATCAGTTGCTAGTAGACTTAATTTAGGTAGGAAACGTATCTAGGACTCAAGGAAGTATTTTCTGCATGCAACTACCTGGACTTGGTTTTTCTAAAAATAAAGAGGATTATGGATAGCTTACAGATGCAGTATACTGACCAGTCTAGCATTTAGGTTGGACATAAGCAGATGATGTGATACAAGAGCTTACTTGTCATACCTCACCCAATCTTCGAAGTGAATACATGTCCCCAGAAATATGAATTATTGATTCCACATAACTATTTCTTTCTGATTGAATCATATTTCGCATTCTTATCGTTTAAGTATCAGATATTTCGTATTCACTTAGGGATGACATCTGAAACGGTTATCCGCGATAAAAAAAGACATCTGAAATGGTTAACATTTAATAATAAACTAGCTAAATGCCCTTGCTTTGCTACGGATAAAAGGAAAAGAATATCATAATACTGCATTAAATAAATAAAACATTTTTTCATGATTACGTTACCCACCTTTTTGCTACAAGGAATACTCACCTCAATTTAATTTTATGTGGCTATCTATGTAGATCTAGTTGTTATGTAATATTAAGAAGTTCAAGGGATAATGTATAAAACCACAATGGGAATAGGTGATGTAATCTGCCACCACCATTAGAATCTTTTTAAAGGAGTATAGAAAACCATATGTGCAACAAGTAAACTTCATGTAAAATTGGTTAGCGCAAAAAGATATAGATCCATATATGCTATTTATATTCATAAAGGTCTGTTTACTCCAAAGTAACACAGTGAAACTAACTTGAGCTGCTTGTTATGCAATTATATTTACAGAGTTACTAAACTATGAGCAGAACTGTATAGTGCGACACAAAATTTCACATATCCCGTAACAAGGTTATTTCCGAATCGCCTTTACATTCCTCGTCTATCTTGGCATACTTGTTAAATCAATCTTCAGAATGACAAGTCCAGTACATCAACCCACTGCAAGGCATAAATATCACCAACACCATAAAAACCAGAAAAATAAGGGTGTGAGGGAAAATGTAACACAAAGAAAGGTAGAGCTAATACCTTATAAGCACAAACACAGACTGTAGGACGCCAGCAACACCAGTCCATGCAGATGGACCTGTATCTGTAAGTGCGTCTTGGACCAAAAAACCAACAGCCCCAGCCAAGGAAACAAAAGACACCACGTATGAAACAAAAAGCCAGAGTTTCAACCTGCAATTTAAATGTAATCATTGTCATACAGTGGATAATGAATGACAGACAGATGGAATTGTATTAATATGGAAAAGTTACCACTTTACAAGGGAGTAATAGTAGACAGACACAAGTACACAACAGATCAGACAGGTTTTTAGATATCATCATGACTCGACATACTGGTTTATGCATGGCCGTCTTGGCTTGTCAGAGGTTTGAATAACAGAATCATCTTTTAAAACACCAGCATGCAGAAAACCAAATCGAACATTCGATAAGTTGCGGGTAGTAATAATGAACTAACGACTAATATGATGTGCCATTCTGTTCTTAGTTTGTGTGGCACAACTGTTGTCAGTATAATGTAGATGTATCCCTCAGAAGAGTAACAGATCGAAGATGAATGAATGATTCACTCTTATTCCATGGTAATCTCGTTCACTCATTGACAACGAAAAATCATGCTTCATATATTTCTCTGAGAAAGTAAATCACAGTTTACAGAGCCATATACCGTTTCCATTGTCTCGTATCATTGCCATTCTAGCATCTATTCCTTTATATCCCAAAACTAAATTAAAGAAATATGGCTCTCTTCTCCACGCATAGAATACAAAATGAGCACTACTGTGTTCCTAATCACATTTCGCAAGTGTAAACACGCATTCTTCAGAAAGCACCAAAAACTAACAGCTCTGAGTTGCACCAATGGATGCATGCGCGTAGCACTAAATCACAACTGGCAAGGTTAAGCATTATTAATCTTCCCAAATCAAGCTCCCAGACCAGTAAATAATCTAACCATAAGCAGCGATAGCACTGATACCCATGAATCAGTAAATCATGACTGAAGTTTCCAACACTCCTGCAAAACCAGAGGCAGGATTGCAGAAACCCTCGCAAACTAAACACAAAACCCACCTAAAAAAAGGAGCGAAAAACAAAGAAAAAAAACTTAAAATTATCCCCTCACCTCCACTCGGAGTCGTCGTAGGGCGAGTAGTAATTGTAGTTGGCGTCTTCCCTCTTCACGCAGTTGAACATGAGCGCGGCGAACGAAGCAAATAACCCTAAAAAAGAAAAGAACCAAACCCCCAACACCCTCGATCGGTTAGGTTAAAGGCTTCAATCTTTCGATCTTTGGGGGATTAGGGCGAGAGAGGAAGAAGGTGGTGTTACCGGGGAGGTAGTGAAGGAACGGGACGGCGGCGGCGCTGCAGACGACGGCGTCGACCCAGAACCACCAGCCGACCCCGAATACGGCGCCGGCGACGCCCGGCCCCACCACCGCCCACACCGCCGGGAAGCTGGTGGTATCCATCGCCGCCGCCGGGAAGAGGAACGGAGAAAGTTGAGAGCTTTTTTTTCAGTGTGGTCCTTGCAAAGCTGCTGCTTTTAGCCCTCCTGCTGCGGGTGTATACATTTTCTTTTAATCGCAAAAAGAAAATACATTTTCTTTTACGCATTGGTCCTTCCAGTTTGTAAAATTTGATGTAGTGGCACCGGTTAGACAATGCCATCTTTACAGAAATTTCACGGTAAATATGTATGGAGTTTCTGCAATTCAAGCACGGGCAAAGCTGCTAAATTCACATATCAACGCGGCGCAATCAAGAACCCGCCAATTTGCACTGACATAAGCAGCGGTAAACCAATTGGTTCGCCTGACCAGCCGCTACTCTCGGGAGTTTGTTAAGAACACATATATAAAAAAAGTTTTACTTATAAATTAATTTTTATTTTCTAATGAACTTTTTTTCTTATTAAAAATATGAGCAACCGATGAGGACCTGAATGTCCGGAAGGCAGTCTGAGCCAAAATAATTTTCTGAAAGCCTTTCTTCCATTTGCCAAGGACAGAGCACGACGGATCGTCATTGCTTCATCTATGTCAGACGTCGCAACTCGCAATCCCTGGGATCAGCTCGTTGAAAGCAAAAACACATGAGCCATTGTTGTCTCAGATCAGGACACCCACTCCCATTGGACGTGAAGAGTGGAAAAGTGCAGCATCTGCGTTTATGAACATTGTTCCAGTCTGTGCTGGAATCCATCCTAAAACTGAAGTAGAGTCGTCACACTAGAGACATTCACAGGTTTGGAGCAGTACTGTACAATGATCTCCACATACACCAAAATGAATAGAAAATCCACGTATGAATAGAAGCATTGTTGTTCCTGGCATCATTTCTTGCCTCCCAAATGTGCCAAAAGGTCGCAGCAAGAGCAGTATTCTGAATGTTGGATCCACGCATCAGGAAGTCAAAAATCTACTGTCTCATGTTTGTGATGTTTCTCCTGCACAAGTTGGGGTCAAACTTTTGTCTAATTGCCTCCCACACTGCATCAGCAAACGGGCAGAACAAAAATGCATGTTTGATCCTATCATCTCTGTTGCAAAAGATACGCATCTATCCATAGCTGGAATATGTTGTCTGAAATAGCTGGTTTAGTCCAATTCACTTCATGAATCATACAAATTCAGTCAAGATTTCATTTTCCTTGTAATTTTGGACCCAAAACTCAAAATTCAGGGTCCAGACTCCAGACCTGAATGCATACTAGCAGGAACCAAGTTTGAGAATTAACAAGCAATAAGCAAATTTCACACTCTATTGCAGGAAATACAGATTTTTCCAGGAAATGCTAGAATATAAGCAGCTACACAGATACTGTTGAAATTCATGAAAGGGCCAACAAACAGCTCCTTCAGTCTCATGAACACTGACAATAGTTGCCCTGATCTATGTGATCAAATACAAGAGTTAACACGATCACGGCACTATTTGCCACTTGGTTTTGATTTCGATGAGTGACTATCCTCGGAGGGGCGTGAGCGCTGGAGTTCCTCAACTATTGCCGTGACCGCACGATCGCCCCTCACTAAGAGGCGCTCCAGCAACTCTACCTTCTGCAGCAGCTGCTCAGCATCAATACTCGCACAGCTCACCAGCTTATCTGCGGTCTTCAGAGCCGTGCACAGCTGGTGGTAGAAACAATGATGAAGCAACATCGTCAGCTTAAATGGCTGGAGTAGGCAATTACAGTGAACGGCATACAAAAGGAGATCAAGATACACACCTTCAGCATCAATGAAGGCCATGAAGGGTCATTTTCTTGCAGCGCTTTCATCAAATTGTCATAGTGCTCCTGATAAGATGATGAACAGGTGCAAATTTTAGTTATGAACAGATGATGAACATCTGCAAACTAATGCCGTTTATAACCTGAAGATCATTCATCTGTACTATAGATTTAATTTGAATTTTACAGCAAACACGGTCAATTTGAAGCACATCTGAACCAAAAAAAATTCAGTTCGTGGCCTGGCAAAATAAATAAATAAATTCAGTTCGTCCAACATCTGATCTGCTCCACAAGATTGGCAAAGTCGCCAAGCAAAATTAAGCACAAATATGAATCCAAGTTTCCAAGAACCACTCTATCTAACCCTTGCATCTATCATCATCAACTTAAGCTCGCCTGAAAGTAGAGTAGACTATTTCCTCAATCTCATAAACTGTATCAGGCCCATTAATTCTTCACCTACTTAACCAGAAAATACCGGCACCCAACAGATAGCTCAGGAAATCGAACCAATTGCAGGACGGACGCATGATTAGGGAACTAAATCTCATATGGTAGGATGGATCGATCGATTGGTGCCGACCAAATCTAGGAACGGGGAGGAGAGGAAAGAAGAGGAAGGGAGCCCTAACCCCGAATAGCCGGTTCAGCTCGGATGGGTCGGCCTCCTCCGCCTGCTGCCCCGCCGACGACGGCGACGACGGGACGGACACCTCCCCGCCGGCGAGGTCGGCGCCGCCGTCGACGGCGAGGTCGCTGAGGAGGTCGCCGATGGTGAGCAGCGGGCCCCCGACTCCCCGCATCTCGCCGCGTCTCCCCCTCTTCCCCTGTGGGCTTAGCTCAGTTTCTAGTCATGAGTATTTGGGCCTATTTAGGCCCACATTAGTTCATGGGCCCACACTGCACCAGCGAATTCCGGGAGCAGGGTTGACGTAAACCCACATTTACGCCTTCCCGTGTTATAGACGTAATTTGAACCATGCGCCGTAAAATTCATTTTTCCAAATGTCTGGAGTTACTCTGAACTGTGGAATCAGCTAAGTTTTTCTTTTCTTTATTATTATTATTAAGGGGGAAATGTACACCCCGTAGGAATGGTACAATTGTGCTGTAGCACAAAAGATGCAGCAGTGTTAACTATAAGTCTATAACTATAGCGGCATCCTCTTTGTGCTGAACAATTTAATGATACACTGGCCTATATAGAATGCCAATTTCTTCGTTGTAGTGAGATCGCTAATACTTTGAGTTCAGATCATGACACGCAACTCAACCCTGTGTGGAATCATCCCTCCTGTGATGGCTCCTCTGATCTGCAATGTGAAACGGATAGCGCCATCAAAGCAAAGTCCAAATTAATTCATGTTTACTGGTTTTCATTATATTTTTTTTAGATAATGGACTGGTTTTCATTATATGGTAAATCATGTAAACACACTGTTAGAAAGTTAGCTTTTACGGTGCAGGCGGAATTATCAGCTCCATCGTTTGCCACTTTGCCCTCCAGCTTGTCTGCCGCAGGCGAAATTCAAATTCATATTACTAGTTTGAATTTTAAATTTACAGCATTAGCTTTTATTATTTATGATTTCTTAAAGCTGTGTGTTTCTATCTTCACGAATCCATTAATCTAGATATACGATTACATTGATAACATTTGAATAAATCATTTTATTCTCATTTTAGATTAAATTTTAAAATTTTAACCACTACAATTTTATAGGCAAAATTTGTTATATAGCATCGAAAGTTCACGTTTTTGGTTTTATAGCTCCGAAAGATACCGGTTCACTTTAATAGCACCCAAAGTTTACATTGTTCCCATTTTTAGCACTTCCGTCAATTTTTCCGTCCGTCTTGATCGTTATTGACCCAACTACGCACACGATATGACGTTTCTACCCCTCATTGACATGCATTCTACTTGTACTTGTGAGGGGTAGAAACGTCATATCGTGTGTGTGGCTAGATCAAGACGGACGAAAAAGATCGAGAATTGACGGAAGTGCTAAAAATGGGAACATGGTGAACTTTGGGTGTTATTAAAGTGAACCGGTATCTTTCGGTGCTATAAAACCAAAAACGTGAACTTTTGATGCTATATAACCAATTTTTCCAATTTTATATTATGTGAATAGCCAATACAGCCCTGAAGTTTCGCTTCGGGCTCAGTTTAGTCCTCGATGTTTCAAGTCGTCCAAACAAGTCCTCCAAATTAACCATTTGGGTTAATATAGTCCTTGGACCAAAAAAATGCCACCTGAGTATACCAAGTCATCCTCGCATGCAGCGGTATGAATGAAATGATCATATTCTACCCCATATATACCATATAGAAAAGAAAAAAAAGACAAACAGAAAAAATAACAGGCCAGCCCAAGCCCAGCATTGTTGCGGATGGATGGCCAACAAAGGAATTTATACGATCAGTGCTTGGCTACAGCAATCGTAAGTGACAATTCTAAAACGATCATACACGTGTGAACCATTCATCTTCTTTTTTTATTTCTTTTCTATATAGTATATAAGGGTAGAATGATCATTTCATTCATACCACTGCATGCGATGATGACTTAGGCTATATTCGTAACGTAGGGTTGGGAACCCATCTCCTCCGCACGGAAAACAGAGCAATCCATTAGCGCGTGATTAATTAAGTATTAGTTTTTTTTCAAAAATGAATTAATTTGATTTTTTAAACAACTTTCGTATAGAAACTTTTTACAAAAAAATGCATCGTTTAGTAGTTTGAAAAGCATGCGTGCGGAAAACGAGGGAGATTGGTTGGGAGCAAGGAGTGCCGAACACAGCCTTAGCATACTCACGTGGCACTTTTTGTGAGTCCAAGGACCATATTAACCCAAATGATTAATTTGGATGACTTGTTTGGACGATTTGAAACCTCGAGGACTAAACTGAGCTCGAAGCGAAACTTCAGAGACTGTATTAGCTATTTACCCAATATATTATATACAAGCGTTAAATTTGTCGTAGATGTAAGACCTGGAGCTGTGCCAAACAAAACCTACGTTGCTAAGAACAAATATGTATATATAAAAATACTTATAGAGTTTTTTTTTGGTTGCTAGTAAGCGTTACGGCTTATTTATGTACATGTATGAAGCCAGACAAGAATTTACTAATTAAGCAGGGATCGTTGACACTGATTCTACCATTTGATGGAACAACATTTGATGGTAGCTAGCTTACTCAGCAGGCGGCGACGATGGAGCGGTGTACTTCTGGATGGCGGCGATGATCCTCTCCTTGTCCCGCGTCGCGAACGCCTCCAGCAGCACCCCGTTCTTGTAGAAATGGAACAGCGGCACCACCTGCGTACATGCTCAACGGATCAACTCACAAACCATTTGCGCAATGATCAGATCGATCCACCACAGCAAGAACTCACTCGATCGATCGATCGATTGTTCCAGTCAGATATGATTATTTGATCGGTTACCTTGATGCGAAGCCGGTCTGCCACCTCTGACTGCTCGTCGTACTCGTCGATGACCTGCATGCATTCGCATCGTCCGGTATTCAGATTCAGATTCAGATTCAGAATTTTCTGGCTTTTTGTCCAACGAATTAGCCGATCGACAAGCTTGCCACAGCAATGGCGGCGCGGGGGTGAGGGGTTAATCAGGAATGGCTTAATTAACTAACGTACGTTGTGCTTGAGGAAGACGACGGAGGAGCCGTGGTCGCCGGAGCCCTTGCAGAGCTTCATGAAGCCTTGCTCGATGTACTTGCAGCTGCCGCAGGACGGGCGGAAGAAGTCCACCACCACCAGCGCCCCCGTCGCCTTGGCGCGCTCCAGGACGCGGGCCAGCTCCTCCTCCGTCTTGAACTCCGTCACGCACTCCACCGGGCAGAACTCCTCCTCCTCCTCCTCGACGACCACGGGGGGGAGCCCCGGCAGCGACCCGTTCGTGCTCCCGCCGCCGCCGTCGCTCTCCGTGGACGACGCGGAGGAGGAGGAGGAGGAGAGGTGGCGGTGGCGGCGGAGGGGAGGAGGAGGTCTCGGGAAGGTGGTGGTCGGCGGCGGGAGGGAGCGGCGGCCGGAGGAGGAGGAAGTCGCGGGGAGGGGGAGGAGGGAGGCGGTGATCATGGCTGCATTGTGGCCGTGAATTGTCGTGCTAAGGATATTGCTTTTGATTTTTTTTTTCTTTTGACAAAACTTTCCTCTTGGTGTTTTTTGTGTACTGCGCTGCTACTGTGGGTGACCGAGGAACAGAGCTGGGTGAAAGAATTGTTTCCGCAGCTGGGAATTGGAGAAATTTGTAGCCATCGAAAAATTTTGGTTCAATTAAAATGCCATCACTTGAGGCAGTGGCGGATCTAGAAATTTTTTTTAGCCTGAGCAAACCTAACGATAGAAAACAAATTAATAAGTAAACACAGATACATATAGCATTTTATCATGGATAGAAGTAAATTGGACTATTAGCTAATGACTAAGTATGATAATTAGTGCTAATCTAATGGTGCATGTATGTAGATAGGCTAATGGCTAAGCACCATAGTTAGTTTTAATGTATGGATGCATGCATGCGGCGGAGCGGGCGCCTGCCCGTGCTGGCCGGGCCTTGGCTCCGCCGCTAACTTGAGGGCTTGATAAAATGTCACTCTCGATCAAGGTGTATTAGTCGAAACGCTATTCTAGACTATTTTGTCCTTTGAGCTGTTTGTTCCTCCTCCAACACCTATACTTTCTCCTTTTTAGTGTCGGATCAGCTTAACAATAACCACAATATTGGCCCACTACAACAAACACAATATTTCTGATGTGGCTACCGGCGAAAGGCGGAGTTGAAATTTATAAACAGCAGCAGCGACTAGGCAAGGGATGGCATCGGCCTCACTCGTGGGCACTTCCACATCTGCCTCCTCTATGATGACTCTGCCTCCGTCGCCGTGCTCCTTCACATCAACCCCACCCTTGTGCTCTACATTGCCAATTGTAATTGACAACAGGAGAGAGCGGCGGTCGGAGGAGGGGGAGGGAGGCAGTGATCATGGCTGCATTGTGGCCATGAATTATCATATTATGGATATTTATTTTGATTTTTTTTCTTTAGATAAAAATATTTGTATATTTTTTTACTACTGTGACTAAGAAACAAAACTGCGAGAAAGAATTGTTTTCACAGCTAAGGAATGGGATTGAGTTATAGGTGTGCTTGTTTGTTTGTAGCAGACTTGGCTCATAAGTGTTAGTGCAATCTCAACCGGACTTCGTGATACAAGGTTTCCTCTCAAGTTAAACTATAGAGGAATACACAAAAATCACCTGTTTGCTAGGCCGAGCCCGTGGCCGATGGATTTTTTTTTCTCTTCTTTCTAATTTTAGGGAAAAAAATAAATTGTTCTCAACATTTGTCTATTACAACTTAACCATGCTACTCCCTTCGATAAATACTGATGCTTAGGATTAGATTAAGTAAAACTTTTGAAATTCATACCATCAATGATGTCTCAAATGCTTTAAGAAAAGGGTTTGGTATATCGAAAGTATTACCATAATATCATGAACTTTATTATATTTTATTAACCTATTCTAATATAGAATTGATGGTTAAAATTTACAAGTTTGTCCAAATCTTGTCGGAAGTGTTTGAATATTTGCAACAGGAGGGAATACATTTATTGAGTGCATGCTACAGTGCAGCCAAGGATTGGTTAAGGGTTAAAAGTGGCAAAAGGTTAAATGCCCCCCAACAATGATGTGATATCAATATATAGATAAGATTTATTATGAGGTGGAGGAGAGTTACCGTCTATCAATATTACCAAACCGTTTAATAGATAGCTTAATACTACTCCTATCTATGCCATTGCACGTGTTGACCAAATATTTGAAATAGCTATTGCGTGAATTGTCTGTATTCTATTTAGATATGACGTAAAAAGGCTAGATTATATACTTAGAACAAGTACAATAGCAGGCTATAAGCCAGCTATAACCATATATCAAGAAGAAAATGGAAGAGAGAGAGAAAAAAGCGGGTTACGAATTTATAGCCAGCTGCAACACGAACTACAAGACGTTGTGTGTGTATGAGAGGTGAGACCGAGTATTAATGGTGTAGTATATTTTTATATGTAACCATTATATGAATAAGCTATTAGATTAGCTATAGATGTTTTGGAGCTAACATTTGGCTATACTGTTAAACATCATCTACACAAATCACCTATAGTCAATTTAATAGCCAATTCATACAATAGTTACATATAAACATATACTACACAATTACTATTTGGTCCCACCTGTCATACACACATGCATCTTAAAGTCTGTGCTGCAGCTGGCTACAAATCTGTAACCCGTTGCTCTTCTTTCTCCTCTCTTATCTCCTTGAAATGTGTTTATAGGCTTATAGTCTACCATTGTACCTGCTCTTAGAGCAAGGCTAATAATATAGTCGACTTGGTGGCTATAAGGTTCTTTGCAGCCTTTTCTTAGTCCACCGATATAATAGTTAGCTCTTTATAATTAATATAGGACCTATTTGTCTCTCTCACAGAGTTTTTTGGTTCTTGTGTCAAAGCCGGCGGTAAGTTTATAGCCCGCTTCTCCTCTCTCCTCTCCTCCATCTCAACATTTAGTTCGTTTACAACCTACTATTATACTTGCTCTTATAGTGGTTTAAACCACTGTTACAAGAGATAGAGCATTCCAAGTTCCAACACTAGCAAACATCATGCATGGGCTATCCCGCAAATCTAGTACTTATCTCTGGTGTCTGCAAATAGTATGCCTTGACTGATCTTCATGTTGTCATGCATAGAACCATAAACCACACTTACATTTCCCAGGCGGATCAGACTTGTATGCAGGCATGGACACCAAATCAAATGAATATAATCAACAGTAGCTACAGGTCAGGTTGGAGAAACATATCTGTCTAGTTAGCAAGATTCTGTACATTGTATACAGGTCAATGAGATGTGTCTTGCTGATTAATCACAGCAGTTTGAAGGAATCTGTTCCGATGCTAATTACATTGGAGTTAAGGAAAGGCTGGACTTCAACAGGAATGAATATTTTTCGATCACGAATCAAGGTCGGCCTTAAAAAAAAATATTGATGTAGTCATCTAGTCCTAATTAAGAATCACAATGCCGTTGCTATTCATCAGTGCTCTATACGGTCAGTAATTCACAATTTAGTTGACCTCAGAATAGACATGTCATACCAGTCTTCATGGATCATCTTTCAACATGTAGATGCCATCATGGTCAAAAGAATGAGAGTAAAGCTGCTGGGTATGAAGCTAGCAGTGTCAAAGACAACGAGCTTCTCACTTCCATAAAAGCTATTCAACAGAAGCCACCTCCTCCCTGCTAATTCAATTGTCGTTCTATATCAGAACTCCGAGAAAGTCCATATTATTGAAGAGGAGGTGCCACCAAATACAATGGCAAGTGGTGCAAAATCTTCGGCTCTTGTGGGGGACTGGGTGTGCTGCAAGGTCAGTAGCTTCCTGATAAATCTAACAATAAATGACTATTCACTTGACCCACTGTTTCTAGACGAAGAATCTGTAATAAGAACATATAAGAAAGTTAATTTGATGCCTCATAATAAGTATATAAAACAGTGCTGCAAATTAGACCTCGTGAACGACGCTTCCCCTCCATGGCTTCTTTCTTTTCTTGACAGCCTTGGCAAAGGAATGGACCATCCCAGCGACGCAAGTTCCCAGGTTGTGATGAATCTTCATGTACGGATATCCCTTGACTTGGTTTTAACTCCACTTGGCAAATGGCACATATGAAGAGCTTGAACATATTTCGAACTGGGTATTCGGAATCCAACCTGTAGTGATTAGAAAAAACTATGTAACAAACATATTCAGGATGTTTGATCAGACAGGATTGCAATAGAAAGTCCAGTTTCGAATTCCAAAAATTTCAACTGTTGTACTATTTGAGTGTATATTGTAGTCTGGCTCAAATTGTGTCAATTTTTACTCCATTTAACCTTCCTTATGATGTACACATCTATAAACTACTTCATGTTTGATGGTACGTGTTTGATATTTCCAGCCTTATGTTTATGTCACATGCTCCTGAGAAGGTCCTTCGGTTGAATTTGACTGTGTTACAGCGAAAAATGTATGTCCCAATTTCAACTTCTCTATATAATGTTAGTGTCTTGAACTGATTCCCTCACATGAGGGGCACACTTAATGCTATTGATTTGTTGGTAATATTCAATGTAAATATATTTATAATTTTATTATAGTGGGTTATCAAGACAGAATTAGTGAACCAACCGTTTGGAAAGAAATGCGCATCCGTCCTCAAATATTTCCTCCACAATGTCTGGGTCCATATATTCTCTATCTGTATGGGATGATGAATCAGATGGTGTTTTCTTGCGAAACATGTTTTTGAAAACACCCATTCCTGGTTGCTTTTTTGTATGTGGCATGGTAAGATTTGCTTTGTCTGGTAGTATGTCAACAACAATACAAGTAGTGTCATCCCTAAGTCCCTTTTGTTGCACTGCTTCCTGAAAGGATTTCAATTGTCAGAAGAGTATCATGTACTACTTAAGAGGTAAGATCGTGGGGAGGGAGAATTATACTTTGACAATTTGTTCCGCAGCAGCCTCTGGAGGAAGTGTTCGTGAACAGTTAAATGCAACTTCTGCAGTCAAGACATCCCAAACACCATCACTTGAAATAATAAGCCGGCCTCCAGCCGTTGATAGCTACAGAAATTAGAAAGCATATTAATGTTTCTCGTAATCAAGTGACGAATTACATGAATAACCTTGTCAATTCATGTAATTGTCAATGTCTGAGAGACAAAATATAAGCCTTAAATTGTCAATAAACTTTTTTTAAAAAAGGTAATAACTGGCAACCTTTTTAAACAAACAAATGACAATGCATGCAGCTAAAGATTAGGACTGACAAACTGATGTGATTAAAGTAAACTATAAGGAGAGCATGCAGATTCACATTGGTAGCATAATGCAAATATAAGCTTTAAGTAGCCTAGTTGCAAAGACCATAGATTGTATATATATGGAAATAGACAATTTTGACAATAGGGAAGAATTTATAAGAGTGTCATGCCAGATATTAAGCTTGCCAAGAGACTCACTACTTCTATGATTTACAGAAGAAATGGGGTTGAGGAACATAAATATCAAAGCTGTGAAACTTCTTTTAGTACTCTAGTCTGCTAACAATATAACAAACATAATTGGAAATCGCCTTCAGGGCATACCTTTACTTGCTTGACATAAGGAACCGGAACAATGAATTGACCCACATCCTGGTCTCCAATTGACCTTGATAGACACAAACCACCAGGCCAGCATCTAAGAGGGCCAATCTGGGGGTAGAAAAGAAAGCAAAAATAAAAAAAAATGAAGCAAGCAGAAAAAGGAAAGGAACACATTTAAGCAGTAAACTAACAAAGAACAACAGTACGCCTCCTTCCTACGCTTCCACCTGCATCAGTCACTATCCCCATCCTTTTTCTCTTGACCAACATGGCATATCCTCCCCTGCTACACTGTTGATGCAAGGCTAGCATATGCAACTATGATGCTAGAAAAATTGGCTGTCAATGTCAATACAGCTATACACAGCACACTATCCTGCAGAATTTTACTGTAGTGGTGAGCATACTACTCCTGTTTGCGAACACTTGTCACTTTTAATGACGCATGCTTAACTAGGAGATCATTTGTTTTTATCCAATTCAACTAAATTACTCTCAATAAATAAATTGATAAACATTGCCCCCCACCAACCCCCCCCCCCCCAAAAAAAAAAAAAAACTGCAGGTGGTGGGGGAATTAGCAGGGGCAAAACTGAAATGAATGCTTTGGAGAGCTTGGGGTGACAAGTATTCGTGAACAAATAAAGAGATCAAACTAGATGGGTCTTTGTGATTGGAGTATGGACAACACAAATATTACACCCTTCCAGAAAAAAAAGAATCCCATGTGATGAACTTAAGCAAAGAAAATGGCAATATTGAACCACAAAACAGGGCAGGGTCACTTGAGTGACAAAAAAAGGATAGGAAAGTTCAAACCTCAGCACCACCAACGACATTAAGTCTACCAACATCACCCCCAGATTCTGTTACACGGTCAACCCTGCAGATCAAAATTATTAAGTAATAAAAGATAGATGATTGACATGAGAAAATCAAGAGCCGTATATCAGGATGAAAAAAAAAAACTTACTCCTCTTTACTGGCATCAAATCGATGATCAGCAGATAAATGATAAATAGAACCTTCAGCTTCTAGTACACAACGCGAATCACCAACAGATGCAACGGTAATAAACAATCCATCTATTATGACAAATGTCACCGTTGTCCCTGATGAGCGGGCTGCAAGAAATAAAAACATATAGACATATCAGGCTCAGCTCTGATAATTGGCAAATAATAACATTAAATATGTAGTTATAAGAATTAAAAAATGAATAGTGATGGCTATCCATGTAACTCCATGGTAAAATGTATGGTCGTCTTTTCTAGCAGCATATCAAACTTTGGTTGGTTTTAGTAACAAGATGCATTGACAAGACACTAAATTGTTCAAAAATGTTACCAAAAAGGAACAACCGCAAGAGTCACTTAACTCCAGATTATTACTATCATTTTCGCTTATAGTTAGCAAACAAAAGATTCCCTTATTGGTTTTTTGTGTGGCGCCACACGAAAATTGCACCTCAACCCACCAGGCTGGTTATCCTCACGCACCTTTCGTTTGGAAATCTTTATCAGTTTTGACAAATGCTGCAACCATCGCTCTCGGAAGCGCGGCAAGCCAATCCTCCCTGTTGAGATCAGCTGGGATTGCGGTCAAGATGTTGCTCAAGAGATTCTCCTTGGTGTAAATCGCGGCTCCATTCCCATTGTGCCCATCAAACAGCTGCAACAGACAGCGGTTAAGGTACTTAAAGCTCAATTCATGCATCCCATAATCACAATTACTACTGACAGTTAGAAATGAACCCAAGGCAATTCTTATACAATACTGTAGTAACTAACACGGCGTGATCATGTCCATTGATCAATCGATCATCATCCTACGTCAAATCATCACAAATCGTACTAGTTTGGATCAACAGTAATAGACTCCCCGAATCAGGCAAATTCCGGCACGGCACACCGAGAGCCGACCAAAAAATTCCTACCCAACTTTCCACCCGCATTTCGCCCCCCACCCAACCCGATCGCGCATCACCACCGATCGGCTTACAGCCGGATCGGGGGGGGGGGGGGGGGGGCGGCGTCGCGGAAGACGGCGATGGATAGGGAGGAGAGCGCTTACGCCGAAGGCGGAGAAGGAGGAGGAGGGGACGCCGGGGAGGCGCTCGCAGTCGGGCTTGAGGAAGGTGTAGTCCTCCCCCTTCTTGGCCTGGCTGAAGAGCCCGACCTGCAGCTCGGGGCGCTCCGCCGCGGTCTTCTCGCTGACCACCTCCCGCCGCAGCAGCACGGCGAGCGGCACCGTCGCCGCGCCGCCCCCCGCGGGCACCGGCACCGACTTGGACCGCGTCGACATGCCCCCCCCTCCCTGCGACTGCCACCGCCACCGCCGAATCCGCTCCCGTTTTGGCGTGGAGCGATGCGGTGGTGGTGGTGGTGGTGGTGCCCCTTTTTTTGGGGGGGAGGAGGAGGAGAGGGAGAATGGTGGTGGTGGAGGTGTGAGAGGAGAGAAGAGGGAGAGAGGAGGGAGGAGATCACATGGGGGGAAGGACGCGCAAATCCAGCCCGCTACGCGCATTAGACAATTTTGGGGCAAAAAGTAGGCGAGGGACGAGGATTCCACCACCCCGCCTGCCGGGGAAGGGTTTGTTTACCTTTTTCATTTTCGAAGTAAGGCAGTGTTTAGTTCCACAGCTAAAAATTTTTTATACGAAGTATTAAATATAAATTAATAACAAAACAAATTGCATATTCCACTTGTAAACTAGGAGACGAATTTATTAATCTTAATTAATCCATCATTAGCAAATGTTTACTGTAGCACCATATTATTAAATCATGACGTAATTAGGCTTAAAAAATTCGTCTTGTAATTTACATGTAAATTGTGCAATTGGTTTTTTCATCCACATTTAATGCTCCATGCATGTGTCCAAACATTTGATGTGATGGAATTTTTGGAAGTTTAAAGGGAACTAAACACAGCCTAAAATTGTTCATCATCGGTTTATCGAAAACCGATAAAAACTGACATTTTTTTTGTCCATACCGTGACAAAACTAGCTATTGTCGATCGGTTTTCACGAATCGAGATCAAGCGATTTCATGAAAACCGATTGATCGGTTTTCTAACCCTACTGTCAGGTTTTTGTTTTAGAAAAAGAGAAGAAGTTTTAGTGCTCGTTCCAAGGACATAAATTTTGGTTGCTTTTCATAAGAAAACAGTTCATTTTTTAAAAAAAATATCGTGAAATTTATCTCCGAACCGAATATATCCTGAGAATATAGAAACGTATGCTCGCTTATTATGTGAGTGGAAGAAGAGTGAGTAAAGTAGGAAGTTCTCAAAGAAAAAAGTAAAGTGGAGTTTTTTTTGCCATGCTTTTATCGAAGGTCATATGTACTTGGAATGGATTTAGAAAACCATCAAAATTATACGACCACTCGCTTATTTCAAAGCTTAATCACTATTACATGTTGACCTATATGAAGACGATATTGTCAGGGTTATGGATACCACATATCTAATAGTAGTTGACTAAATCTCGGCAGGACCCACCACATACCTTGTCCTATACGGAAACAACCTGCGGATATAGGAGGAGTTCCGGATAATGAAACACAACCAGAGTTCTACATGAAAACGACAAGTACTACTCGGATTATATCCATATCAGTTTCCCTAGTCCTACTTGGACAAGGGGACACCTATGGGTATAAATATAAGGCCCCCTAGGAGGAGAGGGGACACACGACCACCACAATCAACACCCACCACAGAAGACACGGAACAATAGATCAAGACAGAAGATCAACATACAAGCCAACATACGCCAAGACAAGCCGCTGGATATCGACATCAGAGATACGCATGGATCGACCATATCCGGTACCTACAGAGGCCGGCCGTAGGGATCTAGCGCTATCTTTGATTTCGTCGGGCACGAACTCGAGGAGGAATACTACCCTGTTGTCGACTACGAGTCAGACCTTCAGACCGCCATGTCGACAACAGTTAAATAGGCTACCCCAAGGCTACTCCAAATATTGTACTGGTGTGATTATGGTGAATAAGAGCAATATCGGCTTCGGCCAACAGGATGTAGGGTTATTACCTAACAATTCAGGGGCCTGAACCTGTATAAAAATCCTCGTCTCCGTCTCTTTTACCTCAGCCTCGTGTATATCCTAGTACCAACGATCCCCATACTATGCAAATACCGGAATTGCGACATCAAACGTCGACAGATATCATAATATTGTCGTTATCGGACAATAATAACATCATGATCAAGTTCCCTCGTCTATTGGTAAAACTAAGATCCTTGACTTTTTTGGCGGTGTGAACCATGGTTTTCATACCAGTTGATTGGATTCGACGAGTGGCTATAATTTACTCCCTCTATCCCATAATATAAGGCGTGGCCAAAGTTGTTACGATCTCAAAAACTAATCTTTAGCTTATAATTTTTCATATGCTATAAGGTTTGTAGCAACAAAATTATAGCCATATAAAAGTAAATTTAAATCTCAATCTAATGATGTAAGTTTGAACAAATAAAATTCATTTCATATTATACTAGGTGTTGGCTAAATATTTTAAATGTTGAATCTTAAAATATGTGCACGTCTTATATTATGGGATAGTATAATGAAATGTTTTGGTACCACACTACCACCTCTTAAACCAAATCATACTTAAAATTCCCCTGAAAGAAAGAAGAAAGAGACAGGAAAAAAAACCAATGGTGATGGCTGGGTGGCTGTGGCTGGCCTATGGACGACGGTGGCGGGAAATTTTGAATGATTTTCATAAGAAAACAGCTCATTTTATTTAAAAAAGAATCTCGTGGAATTTACCCTCAAACGAATATAGAAGAATGAGTAAAGTAGGAAGTTATTAAAAAAAATATAGTAGGAGTTTTTTCGCCATGTTTTTATTGAAGGTCATATGTGCTTGGAAAGGATTTAGAAAACCATCAAAAATATATGACCACTCGCTTATTTCAAAGCTTTGAGTGTGCTACTGTTAACCACTATTACATGTTGACCTATATGGAGATGATATCATAATACGGTCGTTATTATACAATAATAACATCATGATCAAGTTCCCTGGTCTATTGGTAAAAGTAAGATCCTTGACTTTTTTAGCAGTGTGAACCATTGCGTCATGTCTGTTGGATTCAATGAGTGGCTATAATTTATTATGAAACGTTTTGGTACCACCCCTTAGAGTAGGTACAATAGCAGGCTATAAGCCAGCTATAAACATATTTTAAGGAGATAAAAGAGAAAAGAGAAAAACAGCGGGGCTACAGATTTGTAGCCCAGCTGTAGCACGGACTTTAAGACGTAGTGTGTATAACAAGTGGGACCAGGTATTAATAGTGTAGTATGTAACTATTGTACAAATTATCTATTAAATTGACTATAGATGATTTGAAGCTTACGTCGCCTGTACTATTAAACTTTCTCTTAAACCAAATCATACTTAAAATTCCCATGAAAGAAAGATGGAAGAAATAGGAAAGAAAACCAGCGGTGATGGCTGGCTGGCCTATGGACGATGGTGGCGGGAAATTTTGTTGGGCGGCAACTCGGTCACGGTGGCGGGTAGAAATAGAACGACGCGTACTGCCTGCCACCGCCATGTGCCCAACGGCAAGTGGCAACTCTGACCACTGACCTCACCTGACCAGGATGGGCCCACCGCGCATGTGTCATCTGGACTCTCTCACTCAACCGAGCTCATCCATGGGCCCTCGTGGGCTATGGGTTACGTGGGCCAGGGATATGTCGTTGTGGGTTCTTCAGTGCCCTGGCCCGCGTACAGTGTGACCGTTAGTGGTAGGAATAAGTTCACTTTGTGACCCTCAAAAGTGATCGAAATCTAATCCGTGACCCTGAACCGCAAAACCAGATATCTTGACCCCCAACTCTTAAAACCGGTGCAATTTGACTTCCTCGGCGGTTTTGAAGGGCGGTTTTGCTGACGTGGCGTCCACGTGGCAGTGTTGACCTGATCTCCCGCTGACGTGGCGCATAGGTGGCATTAGCATTGAAAACATACACACGTGGGACCCATTCGTCATCCACACAAAAGGAAAATTTATGGGGCCCACATGTCAATCTAACCCTTCTTCCTCGTTCCTCTCTCTCTCCCTTATCTCTCTCTCCCCCTTCGGCGAGCAGGTCCGATGGCGGCGGGCGGGTCCGGAGTGGCGGCGACGGCAGTGAAGTGGGACGGCTCCTCCTCCAGTTGGCTCCTCCCCTCCTGTGAGCCGTCGGCAACGGAGAGGGAGCTCGGCGAGAGAAAGAGGCGGCGGCGAGATGGAGCTCGGGGGGCGTGCTTGTGCGCGGCGTGGAGGTCGGCCTCGGCCAGGGTGAGGAGGGGCGAGAGCTCGGCGCCGTCGCCCGCTAAAGAAGAAGCCGACGCCCGTCTTAGACCTCGACCCGGCCACTCCCGTCGCTGAAGAAGACGCCCCCGTCTTGGACCCTGACCTAGCCATCCCCGCCGTCGAAGTCGACGCCTGATGGGGTTGGAGGAGGCGCCGACCGCTGCCGCTGGGGAGGAGGCGTCACCCGCTGCTACTCCCCGCTCCATGCGGGCGATGGCGCCGCAGCTGCTACTCTCTCGTCGGCGCTGACCGAAGGGGAGAGAGAGAAAAAGAGAAAGAAGAAAGAGGAGGAGGAAGAAGAAAGAGAGAGATTGGATGACATGTGGGCCCCACATGTCAGTGGGCCCCACAATTTTTTTAAATGACATGTGGGCTTCACAATATTTTTTTGTGTAAATGACATGTGGGCCCCATAATTTTTTTAAATTCTAATACACATAAGCTCCACGTCATCGCCACTTGTAAGAAAGACAGGGTCAATACCGCCACGTAGGCGCCACGTCAGCAAAACCGCCCACCAAAACCACCGAGGGAGTCAAATTGCACCGGTTTTAAGAGTTGGGAGGTGAAGATATCTGGTTTTGCGATTCAGGGTCACGGATTAGATTTCGATCACTTTTGAGGGTCACAAAGTGAACTTATTTCTTAGTGGTACGAGCGGCTCAGGCCGGAGATGGGCCCGGCTAGCAATGCATGGCAGTTGCCCGTTAGCCCGTTATCCCGTAGGTCCATGAAGAGAGGAGCACGGCCTCATCCATGCCAGTATGCCACTCTGCTTACTACTACTGCTTCCATTGCATGCAAACAGTAACACCAAGATTCCTAGATCAATTGCAGTGGAGTCTCTTCGTAAAACGCGAAAATATAGGGTGTAAATCATATATGTAGTGCAAACCTGAAAATTATCGTAGGATAAAAAATTGGACGTATGAGATTCCTCCACGTTATCTCGAATATACTTTTAGTAAAACTTCTACTCCAGATTAAATATAAAGAGTGAAGTGCATGCGCGGTGTTTAAACTTGTACAAATGTGTCATCTAGATCCCTATACACTCAAAATACATTTTTGAGTCCCGAACTTGTCATGAGTGTCATGTAGGTCCAAACGGGCTCCAACCTGCTCTGTGAGATGACGTGGCATGCGACAGTGATGC